CGAAGAAAAGGAATTTGGGTGTCCAGTGGACCTTAGTCGAAGTGTTCTCAGTGAGAACACTCAATTAAGGTCCGTTCGACCTCAAAAAGGTCCGAGTCAGAGTCCAAGTCAGGATCGTCTAGTCTCCGATTTCCTGAGGTATTTTCCTTTTCCTGTTTGTTCCATTTTTGTGTTTGTTTATTCTGTTTACTTTGTTTAAATGTAGCTTTATTGATTTTTCAATTTTTTTCGATTGATTCTGTCTTTCTTCATCAGACCTTTTATTTGGTCCAATTGTATCATTGCTTCTGTTTGTTGTTGACTATTATATGTTATAATTTGTGTAATCGATTGAATAAGTGTCATCGATTAGTCTGGTATGCTTGAATGTTAGTTTAGCATGATAATAGTCTAATTTGTGGTTCATTCTCGTCTGTTTCCCTCTTGCTTCATTTGTGTTCTAAAGTTTGTATTAAAATGAGCTCGTTGTTATATTTGAACTTAGAACTGAGTTTGTTGGTATATTCAGTTCATTGAACTGAGTTTATTGGTCAATTGTTATCCTGAATCATTGTTCTTCTGTTGATGCCATTTGATCTGATTTAAATTTTAGTTTGAATGGTCATTTGAATTCAAATTGAATTGGTTATAGCTGAAAGATGTAGTATAGATTAAAGGGTTTAAGGTAGGACATTAAATCACAGGAGTTTTCAAGGGTATTTTGGGGTTTTAAAAGGCTTGAAATGTTTAGTGTTAGTGGTCTGACCGTAAGGGTACTTAATTGACCATTAAACTAATACTTTGTCTAGTAGTAGTGGCTTGGGAAACATAATAGCATGGGGGATTAATTGAATATTATACGTTGTCCATGCCTTTGGACACAAGACACTTGATAATGGGCTGTAAAGGAATATCATGGGCAGAAAATCTGATAAGGTAGAGGGGGCAGGCCTGTTTTGGGGGGGTTATAAATGGGGAGTTTTACACAGTTTAGGAGAGGTTTTTTGGACAGAGTATAGGGGGATGGTTTTGGGGAGCAGAAAAATTAGTTCTCTTTGGATTTTCTTTTTCTTTTAGGCAAGCTTTAGAAGAGAAAGTAATCTGAAAAGAGAGAGAAAGGAGTTCAAAGTTTAAATAGGTTTTGAGATGGTTTAAGATGAGTTTGGGTGTAGTGTTGCAGTAGTGTGTTTTTTGATTTCCTTTCTGAGGTCGTTTGAGCTGTTCAAGTTTGAGTGTTCTGGTTTTTAACTGGTTTCAAATCCATTTGGGTCTGCTGCATATGCCACTAGCTGTTGGTACTTGCTGTTTGGTATTTGCAATGGTTGTTTGTTGTTCTGCTGTATTGTATCACTACTGCTGCTACTGATCCTCATCTTCCTCTTCTTGTACTGTCACTACCAGGTACACTTCGAGCCTTTGATGTATCATCTCATATCGGATGTGAAATAGAAATGAAGCAAGTTCCCTGCTGCGGAATTATAGTGAAAAACTTCTGTTACATATATGGATAATTTGCTTATGATGCGTGTAAATGGCCACTCTAGTTAAGTATGCTGAACTCCCATGGACTGTGATGGACTGTTTGTTTTAACCTGTGGACTGTGTTAGACTGTTATAATAGATTCTAGAATTTAGAACATCAATGTGATTTAGTTAAACCAATTAGATGTGTATTCCTGGAAGCATAAGAGTTCTATAGCTAACAATCTGATTTAACTTGTGTTGATTAATGGAATCTCAGTTTGCTTTCATATATATTCCACTAAATTGGTTTTCTAGGATATAGTTGATTTTAAAATCAGCATGACGGCCACTTTAAGTTTGATGGCCCGGAATTCATTGTTGTAGTATAAGTGTTGATAATTCTGGATTAATAGTTCATAGCAGTAGTTAATCGAATTGAACATGCCTTATTAATAAGACTGCTTTGAATCTACTCGTGGATATTAGTAGAATCAAATAATTGAGCTGTTTAGTCCAAAACTCGATCCCTCATTAGGAATCACCATTAGTTAAACAGGTGGAGTAAGCTGAATTTTAATATGAGATTCAAATGATCAATTGTTCCTTAGTTTGAGTAGATAAACGTGATTCTCCCTTCTCATAATTTTTTGAGTGCACTTTAAATAACTTGAAGTTGTTCCAGTGATTCTGCGTTCAACTAGAATTGACGCTGAGGTCAGTGGTCCATTTTGGACATTCTGGGCTTCGGTACTGTCACAAACGGCCCAGGTCTAACTCTGACTACAAGTTCATTTGGACCTGGGCCCAGATCTATAATTGGTTTGCTCTTTGTACACACTTAGATAAGGATCTATTTATACGGATTGCATTCAGAACCTAAAGTAAGATTTGATTTCGTATGAGTTCAATAGACCCAGGTCTTCTAATTCTTAAATAATGCAAAACTAATTAGGATCTTCTTCTTTGTTTTAGAGGCAAATAAAAATAAAAAATTATAAATTGCTTTAGGATTGGGCCTTTAAATAAAAATGATGAGACGAGTCTCGCCGAGTAAAAATGCCAGTTGCGGGGCCCTCAGTGAATGGTTAAAATAAAACATTTAGAATTCGGGACGGGCTATTTAGCGAATTCGACGGCACTCCCCAAAATAATAACGCGTTAGTCTCTTTAGGCGCGTATTTTAATAACATTACCTCCCTAAACTCGGGTGCACATTTATGTGACCCAAATCCAAATCTCAACGAAAGTCGAAACCTGTCGCTAATCACGGGTACATTGATTGTGACGTGGTTCGAGATGCATTTCCATGACGTTGCATTTCTTTCTTTCTTTTTATAATAAGTGAGACGAGCCTCGACAAACAAAATACATAAGCTGCGGGGCCCTCTATAAGTGTTTGTAGAATTCCTTAGACTTCGGGATGGGCCATTTAGCAAAAGTTCACGGCCTTCCCCAAAATGATAATACGCTAGTCGCTTTAGGCGCGCCTTTAATAATTTACTTTCTTAAACTCGGGTGCACATTTATGTGACCCAAATCCAAATCTCAACGGAGTCAAAATGTGTCGATAACCACGGGTACATTGATGTGACATGGTTCGAGATACGTTTTCGCAACGTTGCAATTCTCTGTTAAAATAATAATGATAATAATAAAAGCGGTTAAAAGTTAAAATTTGCACATAGGTTCGTAATTGTATAAAAATTAGATAATTAAGCCGAATATGACAGTTGAGCGACCGTGCTAGAACCACGGAACTCGGGAATGCCTAACACCTTCTCCCAGGTTAACAGAATTCCTTATTTAGATTTCTGGTTCGCGGACTGTAATACAGAGTCAATCTTTTCCTCGATTCGGAATTCAACCGGTGACTTGGGACACCATAAATCTCCCAAGTGGCGACTCTGAATTAAATAATATATCCCATTTAGATTGTCCTTTAATAAGAAAAACTCCCTTTTACGCCCCTCGCGAGTGTATGTGAAAAAGGAGGTGCGACAACAGGTACCTCTGATAGCAGAAAATGGATCGTTGCAGCTACCGCGACCGCATAAAATCCGTTACGAACCTCGGTATTTAATATTTGGCTCAACTGCAGGTTCTTTGAACTCCTTCTCCGCGGACCGCGGTAAATTGACCGATGTCGCGGTGGAGGCACCGCTGCCGCATATAATCACCGCGGACTGCGGTAGCTTTAATTCCAAATATGAAAACTCTCTAAATCCTTGCCAGCGTGGGCCGCGATAAAAGGACTGTGGTCACGGTGGGTCTTCTGCGTCCGCGGTGGATTTTCCGCTGTAGCGTTGCTTTGACTTGGTTTTGTACTTGTGCAGATTTCACTTCTTTTTTGAGCTGGTTATAACATCTTTGTCCCTTTTTGACCAAACACTGCAAACAAACACAACAAGTTAGCTTTTGGGGAATACTTGTACACATTTTAGTCCAAAACTCAAGCAAAAAGGAGCATAAAACATACTAGAATCCCTAGTTATCACCGCACATCCCAGGTCCCGCGGCAACAAATTCCAAATTGTGCGGTCGCACTTCAACGGTGGTCGTACTACCAAGCTTTAGTAAATTGGCCATAACTTTCTGGAAAAATATCCAAATGAATAATGGTTTTATTTTTTGAAAACTAGATTCAAAGAGCTACAACTTTTATTTTTGGATCATCTTTAAATTCTTTATAGATCAAAAGATATAAGCTTCCGAAATCAAACCATTGAACCTACAAAATCCCCTTTCTGCGACCGCGAGAAGAATTATGCGGACCGCACAATTTAAACTACGGTCCGCACAATTACCAATACCTCCACACTTTGGGAGTTTGTGTCCGCACTCCAAATTGTGCCCACGCACTCCCAAATGCTCTAGAACAACATCAGAGTGCTGAAATGCCCAAACTCGCTCAAAACCCACCTCGAAACGCATCCGAGCCACTCGGAACCCCATACGAATGTATCAACAAGTCCTAAAATATCATACAAACTTAGTCGAGACTTCAAATCACATGAAACAATGATAAAAATATGAATTGCACTCTAATTCAAACTTAATGAACTTTGAAACTTCAAACTTCTACAATCAGCCGAAACCTATCAAAACACATCTTATTGACCCTCAAATTTTGCACACAATTCACATTTGACATTATGGACCTACTCCAACTTTTGAAATTGGAATCCGACCTCGATATCAAAAAAGTCTACTCCTGGCACTACCAGAAAATGAGCCTATTGCAACAGTTTTTTAGTAACGGTTACAGAACCGTTGCTATAGAGTACATATAGCAACGGTTATAACCGTTTCCGTAGAATGTGGATGATATCAGCACACTTTTGATATAAAACCGTTACCATTGACATTAAACCGTTGCCATAGCACTTTTTAACCGACGCTTTAGAACTGAATTTTGGGAAAACTAATAACGGAACGATTTTTGTTCTCCTCATCAGATTCCCTCCTAAATTTTGTTAAACCCGCCAAACAAAAATAATTTTTGTTTTTTTAATTAATTAGAAAAATAAAAATATAAAAGTCTCTAATTTAATTACTCCATATCCTATTAGCAGCAGTCGATATCCCCAAAGCCCCAAACCCCAAAATTGCCTTTGACGCGTCTCCACCCCATCTCCGACCAAAATCTCCACCGTCTTTCAGCCATAAAACTTCCACCAAAGCACCATGGAAAAGACCACCTTCTTCCCCTGTTAAACCAACATCGATTGCTCGAAGAAAACCCATATTTCAATCTCTCTGTTAGAGACAACGAAATTGCATAAAAACCTTTTTGGCGATATCCGACTGCTCGAAGGATAAATTGCTGAAATTTGTTGGCGTCTGAAACTCCAAGGAAACAAAGAAACTAACATCATTCCAAGACTTAGGATTTGAACGGGTGAAATCACAAGTACTTTCTTTCTCTCAAGTTTTTCGCCTACTTTTAATGGGTTCTCTTTAATTTTTGTCAAATAAGGGTACAAATGGGTATTCTCTAAATCTCAAAGCCTAAGTTTTGCTATATTAACTAAATCTCCTCTATTTTACTAATTTAATTGCTTCTTTATTTCACTATTTCTTCCTAGTATTATTCCCTTTTTGGATTTGTGGTCCTCTTTTTAATTTCATCGATCTGTATTGATTTCATGTATAGATTTCATGGGGTTTGTTGTTTTGTTTAAGGAATACATGTAAATTTATTTAATATTTGTGATTTTGGGTGCATTTTTTGGGGCATTTTCATTAGTTTTCTTTTGCGCCCCATTCTTTAATTTTTTCTAGTGACAAAATGCTTCAAATTTGAAGCTCAAAGTAGTTATTATTCTGTAGCACGATATGTACATGCGATACAGAAAAACATATTTAACTTGCAAGTGTCAATGATGCGTGTAACAACTTGTAGAAAATAGAGTATGTGCTTGTGAATCTTAGCTTTAAAAACCTTGAAATAGTGCTGGACTTGGACAGCAAACAAAAGGGATAACTTTTGATGCGTGTTTTCTAAAAGCTGTTGATACTGCATTAGATCTGTTATTTCACCATAGAGAGACTTGAACTTGAAAGAATGTATATCTATACAACACTGTATTCAATATTAATGTTACTGTTTTGCATAAATAAATCCCAACTTATTTCTAATTCTCCTCTTTTTCTCTCTATTTACAGTGTTGATTACAATTTCTGTGCCAGCTTTTATCTTTCGTATCGATAGTCATGATATTTCATTTATTGAGATTTCAATATTTGTTTGTTTCTAATTCTCCTCTTTTTCTCTCTGTTGACTGTGTTAATTACAGTTTGTTTGAGCAGTAAGCAGTGATCAAATCTTCACTTCTTCTTTATTCAATTATTTGTACAATCTTTTTTCTACATTCTTAGTATAACACTACTGCGACGTCGAACTTCGTTCTCTATGGCTATTGTTCTTCTATTTGCTTCTATTTTTGGGTGTATGTTGGTTCTATTCTTTTTCTCAAAACAATTGTACTCATGTTTTTTTTTGTTTTTTACATATTTTGTAATTATAATGATCTAGATGTGGTATGAATTTTTAATTAGTTAGACAACGTTCCTTCCAACTTTGTATGCATGTCCCTTCTGCTTGATTTTCCTAGAGCTAATGGTTGAGTTGACATTGGATGCCATTGGTTATTAGTTAAGTTCTTGTTAATTGGGAGAATGAAAGTGAAACAAGTTTATGTTGAGAAGAGTTATTTTGCAATTTTTGAGTAACGAAAGTAGTTTTACAAAGTAATAGGCTTACTGTGAACTTATTGGCAAGTACAGAAATTCCACTGGATACGTTGATGATTTTTGAATAAATACTTGCCTTAACTCATTATTGAATAACACATGCAGTGTACATTTATTGCTCACCTTCAAGTTCCGCAAATCTCTGTTTCTCCTTGCACATATTCGAAGTATCTATCTCTTTGGTGAGTTTCCTAACTTTTTTTTGCGCTTTCTTTCTTCTTCACTCTTTCATTTTCGGAGTTATATATTTTGTGTCTGAAAATTTTCTGTCTATGGTGTTTTATGGCATGATTCTATATAAGTCGAGAAATGTAGATTGTGAGGTTCCTGCTTCCAACTTGTACAACAAATTTAATGTATATCCTTCTCTAATTTAGGATTTTATTTATATCATATCTTAGATTTCTCAATTTTTGTTTCATGTTATCTCTGTTGTATGATTTAATTTTGGTTCTGGTAGTTTCTCTATTTTTGGGGGTATTTTCCTGTTAAATTTTTGGTTGCATGTCCGGTTTAAACACGGATGCACAAGAGGTGTTTGGTAATATGTCTAAATCAATTGAATTTATGTTTTATCCTATCATTGGGACAGATATTTAGTTATGGTTCTATTTTGGTTACTTAGTAAGGAACAAGATCTTAGTTTGTTTACTGTTTAGGTATGAATTAAGATGAAATAAGAGTTAACAATTCTTCTTGGTTTATGATCTTTCTCTCTCACACTTCTTTTTATTGTTAATCAGCAGCCTCCTCAGTTTTCTTGCATAATTATCTTTGGATTCCTCAAAAGAAAATAGCAACCTAAGAAGAAATAACATGTTTTCAGTTTTTTTCCCTTTGTTTTTGGGTTGGCAATGAAGAATGAGTATAGTGTACCACATGTGTCTTTTTTGAAGGGGAGGGTCATCACACTTATAGAGTTTGTCCATCTTTTTAAAATTTATATAAAGTGTAATCTCTCTGAAATTATTCTGGTTTGAATTACTCCATTTGACAATTACTCCTCCAAGACTGAATACATTAAGTAATTTTCCCTTTTTGCATTTCTGAAACTATTTTAAAGAAATGAGTTACAACTAAAAAATAATTTGTAACAATGAAATGCCATGGAATAAGGCTAATGAAATATGTACCATGTGGTCTTTTCTGTTTAGGGATCTTCTTAATTATTGGAACTCTGATGCCTACAAGTTAAAACTAAGTACAGTCCCATGATTTGCTGAGAATGTCTGGTTTATATTTAATTAGAAATCACTTAACTCTGTATTCATTGGCTGATTTGCAGAAAATGTCCCAAACCAATACCGAGAATCGCAAAAAGTTAAAATATCGACACACTGCTGGCAAAAGAAGTTTTGCTCGAATATGCAAGGTTTGATATTTTCTTTCTTATTATTCTTTTGAATATGAACTTATTAACTTTATACCGCTTTTTATATAATCAGGAAAAAAAGAAAGAAACTTCTGAGCCTCTATCAAGCAAGGACATCTTTGTGGCCACAAGAAAAAGAAAACCTGATCGAGTTTACAAGGCCTCGTATGCGGATACTGTTAATAAAATTGTACGAGTTATTAATTTAAAATTTTTTTGTTATCATTTGTCTGTTCTTAGTTATTGACTCAGTGTCATTTACTTTCTGATTTAACAATGACTTAATTTGGTCTTGTAGGCTGAAATGGAAAGAATACAACTAACACAAGAAAGTGAAGATGTCAGTCAATCAGTTGATGCATTTGCATCAATCATGGGACCTGAGCATCTAGGTCACCTAAGATTGTATGGACATGGGGTTACCAAGACTTCCTTAAAAAAAGTGGGACATTTGGGACCCTCTACTGATGAGGTGATGCAGCAAAAATTGGAGGAAATGGAAGAAAGGATGCAGCAAAGATTGGAGGAAAAGTTCAATGCACAAAAATATGTCATGGAACTACAAGTTGCAGTTAACATCATTTCACAACTTAAACATCTGAATCCAGATTTACGGGTTGATCCCAACATGCTAGCTTTCAATGCTTGTTCACCTGGAGAAGCTTCCTCTGCACAACAAGCTGTTGTGCAACTAATCAATCGTCTATCTACTAGGAGTAATAATCAAGGTCAGTACGTTTATCTTGGCTCTACAACCTTATTTTTGGGTTGTGATGAGACATGGAGAAAATGATAGTTTAGTTAGTTCAACATGGTGGGTTATTTGGTCCAGTATGTCTGTTCTTGTCATTGATTGGTCCAGTATGTTGGCCCCTTGAAATAGGACATGTTGGGTTGCTTAGTCTTGTGTTTGGGTTTCAATGTTAGCCTCTTTTTTGTGTTGATGATGAATCAGCTTTTTTACTTGGTTAGCCACTGCCCAGAATAGCCATTGTGTATTTCCCTTCATTTATTGTTGATTAGCTACTGTCTAGTCAATATTTCATTGCTTAATCCATAGAACTTTGCAAACTCTTGCATCTTGAAGCCTCCAGTTGTTTGTTGCATTCATTGCCCAGCTCCACTCTTCGATTGTGCCCTTTATTCTGCTTTTTTCGTGTGAGGTCCATGAGTGTATGCTTTTTCCTCTTCCTCTTGTGTTACTTGTATAACCTGCTATCTGTGTAAGATGATTTCCTTCCTCTAACCTGCCATTTAGCCTTCATAGCTCCAGCCTCAAACTGCTGCATTCTCCATGATTTACGCTCCTTATGATTGCATTTTTCCCTGCTTCCATGCCTTCCTTGTGACTCAATTGGCTCCACTTTTGTATTCCTGTTGCCTGACTCCATGTATGTGCATATGAATTCCCTTTAGAAATTGAGAGAATCCATCTGCAGACCTGATCTGCAGCTTTGTGTTTGCTGCAACCATATTTGGTACTGTCCCTTTTGAGATCAATATCGTGTGTTGTCTCTATGTGTTTTGTTAAGATATTTGTCCTGTTTGATGCCTCATATGCTAAATTAAGATGTAGCATCGAGGATTTGTGAAATTCTGCCTCCTTCCTCGACACCTTGGTTAGTGAAAAAATAGATCAACATCATCTCCTCCACAAGTATTTGAAGATATTGATCCTGAATTATTTCCAGCTCCATCACCAGATCCTTTGCCCTTTTCTTCATCTCTCTTCCTACTGCCTCGACACCTTGACTCTCAAATATGGACATTGCAATTTATCCACATGAAGCTCAAGATGGATTTCTCGGTCATGGAAAAATATCAATGTTGTTATATTATGCACATTTGTTGACTTCTTATTGTTCCTGTGTTATATTAAGACTCATTTGCATTTTAGGCTAGGACTTTTATGCATTTTGTCTTCTTCTTCTTTTTTCTTGCCTTTGAGATTTTTACTGTTATTTTGTGAACTTGGATAAAGAAGTCCACTTGATTGGTTCTGTAAGAAAATAGTCCGATCATATATCTGAAATAATAGTAGAATGATTAATTTGTTGTACAAAGTTCCCAATATATCTTTCTTCACTTGATTTCCTTGCTTTCAACTTTGTGCTTTATGTATTGTTTATGGACCATACCCATTCTTATAATGATAAACCAACCCTTGAAGGATAATGACTTTATTTATCCTCTTTTGTAGGTGGAGCAATTGAAGAAAGGGAAGATGGAGATTGTGAAGATCTAGACCTTACTTAAGAACTTTGAATTGTTGTCCATGTTCTAGGAATCTTTTGTTATCAACATTTGAAACTTATAACTCTAACTCTTGAAGTGTTGAAATGTAAAACTTATATGATTGGGTTAAAACATTTTGGTTCTATGGAAACAATATAGATTATGAAGTTTTTTATCTTTTTATTTATATAAATTCTAGGTTATTACAAAATTATTATTATTATTATTATTATTATTATTATTATATAATATTCATTTACAGCCAGGGTATAATAGTCTAATAGAACCGTTCCAATAGGTCTTACAAATCGTTCCAAAATATGCGACAAATTGATACAATAGATGGTTAGAACCGTTCCAGTAGGTCTTGCAAACAGTTCCAATAGATCTTACAAATCGTTCCAAAATGTGCGAAAACCTAATACACTAGGTAGTTAAAACCGTTGCAAAAGAAATAAAACCGTTACAGTAGCTCAATGAAACCGTTAGAATATCTGTAAACAAACGTTGCAATAGCTTACACAACCGTTGCAAAAAATTGTATGGTAACGGCTGCCAACCGTTACTGTAAACTCTATGGTAAAGGTTTTTAACCGTTGCAACTGGAAAGAAATACTCGTTGGTTCAGGCAGAGGAAAAACCGTTGCGATAGATCGCCCTCCAGCAACGATTTGGATAATCGTTGCAAGAACCGTTACTCTAGAACTATTGGTACGGAAGCGTATGTAACGGTCGCCAAACCGTTCCAATAACTCTATGGCAACAGTTCACCTGTCTGTTGCAATGGTTTTCCGGCTGTTGCCATATGCTCACTTTCCAGTAGTGCGGTCAAACTTTCCAAAAATTTAATTTTCACCATTTCAAGCCTAATTCAGCTACGGACCTCCAAATCACAATCCGGACACGCTCGTAAGTACAAAATCACCCAACGGAGCTAACAGAACTGACGAAATGGTCAATTTCTTTGAACTTAAGCTTTCATTCTAGGGACTAAGTGTCTAATTCACTCCGAAACCAAAAATAAAATCTCCTGGCAAGTCATATAAGCATAAAATGATACAGGGAAAGCAATAAATAGGGGATTGAGGCTAATACTCTCAAAATGACTGACCGGTTCGTTACATCAAAAAGAGCCAAGAAGTGTTATAGTCTGCTCCAAAAGTTATGTAACTAGTTAGGTACTGGTTCTATTTTTTTAATTGTCTCTATTAGCTTGATTAGAATAGGAGGTTGTATTAGAATAGAGAAATGAGTTAGTTAACGTTTTCTTGTTGGTTGATTGGGGTCCTAGATGGTGCATCTTGAGATGGAGGTAGCTAACACAGGTGCTCGAGAGTGGTAAACGTTGGTTGTTAATGGTAATATTTTACATTTTATTACCAAAATCGCTTCCAACATATTATATTGAAACTCCAACACGGATAAAGTTCCAACATAATATATTGAATTATGGAGATCCTACATATAAACTTTGTTAATAGAGGAGAACCTCAATGGTTGCAGAGAAATTCTCAGAAGAAGCAAAAGACAGAAATGGAAATTTTATTGTTCCATTAATTTCTGATACCTCACAAGAGAGGAGCATACGCAGTTATATACATACTCTAACTAACTTAACTTACATATGTCCCTACATGATTGGACAGCTGGCTAACTACCCAACTAACACTAACTAACTTCTTAACACCCTCCTTCAAGCTTATGGTTTGAAGATATCCTTCAATCCTAGCTTGGACATTAAGTGATCATGTTGCAGTCTTCTTAAGCTCTTGATAAGGAGGTCAGCTTGCTGCTCTTTTGTGGGAATGTGATGAGTTTCACTACAACTTGTATGATTTTCTCTCGTACAAAATGGCAGTCAATGTCTATGTGTTTGGTCCTTTCATGAAAGATAGGATTAGTTGCAATTTAGATTGCAGCCTTGCTGTCACAAAAGAGATCAACTGGTAGACTCACCTCAACCTCTAGCTCTTTGAAGATTTATGTGAGCCAGGTTATCTCAGCAACAGTAGATGCCATACTTCTGAAATTAGCTTCAGCAGAGCTCCTTGCAACTGTGTCTTGTTTCTTAAACTTCCACGAGATCAAGGCATCCCTAAACTTAACTAGCTAGCATGTTACTAATTTCCTGGTCTGTAAGTATCCTCCCCAATCTGAATCACAATATATTTTCAGTTTATCTGAACCTTCTGAAGGCATTAGTAGACCAAGACCTAGAGAGGTTTTGACATATTTCACAACTCTCGGAGCAACTTCCTAGTGAGACTACTTAGGCTTATGCATAAATTGACTTAGTGTTTGTACTACAAATGCTATATCAACTCTGGTCATTGTAAGATATAATAGCCTCCCTACTAGTCTTTGATATGCACCTATATCTTCAATCAGCTTGTCTTCACACTCATAGACTCCTACAACAGTATCATACTCCACATATGTAAGTTTCAGATTTGTCTCTAGAGGTGTTCCTGTAGGTATAGCACCTGTAAGTCCCATCTCAGATATCAATTCCAAAGCATATTTCCTTTGGCTCATAACAATTCCATTTTTTGATCTTGCAACTTCTATTCCCAAAAAGAACTTAAGTTCTCTTAGATCCTTCATTTAAAATCTAAGTTTCAGGTCATTTCTAGTCTGAGTTATCAGATCTATAATGCTTTCACTTATTATCAGATCATCTACGTAGACTAACACAACAATCAATTCAGCTTGAACCTTCTTTGTAAAAAGAGAGTAGTCAAAATGACTTTGAATGAAGCCCAACTGCACTAAGGCATCAGTCAGCTTCCCGTTCCACTGCATGGGTATCTCCTTCAGGGCATATAGAGATCTACGAAGTTTGCAAACCTGGTGAGACCCTCACTGGCTTGCAAACCCTAGAGGCACATCCATGTACACCTTTTCTAGAAGTTCACCATGCAACAAGGCATTGTGAACATCCATTTGGAAAAGAGGCCAATGCTTGGATGCAGCAACTGCAACGACTGATCTTGTTGTAACCATTTTTGCTATAGGTGAGAAAGTTTCTGTGTAGTCAAGCCCTTCCTTTTGAATGGAACCTTTAGCCACCAAACTAGAATTGTATCTTTCAACTTCACCTGAGGATGTATACTTCACTTTGAACACCCATTTACATCCAATGGGAACCTTATCAGCAGGCAACTCCACTATAGATCATGTGTGTTTTTCCTCTAAGGCTGAGATTTTACCCTTCATAGCTTCAATCCATTTAGGATCCTTAATAGCCTCAGCATATGACTATGGTTCTACATTTGCAGAGTAGGAGGATAAAGCTTTGGCATAGGAGTCAGAGATATTCTCATAACTAACACATGTTGAAGAGGATAGGAGCAATTGGATTTGCCTTGAGACTGAGTAACATAATCTTTTAGCCAGATATGAGGTTTACTGGTTCTCCCAGATCTTCTAGGATATGAGGCTTCTATCATTAGAGGTAGACAGTTGATGAGTAGGCTGATCATGAGTAAGATTAGTTAGTGAGACTGGTTCAAGTTCAGCAGCTACTTGAGTCAGCTGATCTAGATTATGATGAGCAGGTGAAGTAGAAATAGGAAAAGATAGAGGAGATGGTGTAGGAAGAGATAAGGAGATTGATGGTGGAAAAGAGGATATAGAGATATCATTAGGCATTAAGACTTGAGGTATGTCAAAGGTAGGAAACAAAGAGGGTAGAGAAGTTGAATGTTGAAAGTGAAATATATTTTCATTGAACATAACATCTCTACTTATTAATAACTCGTTGGTGTGAATGTTGTACATTCCGTATCTCTTTTTGAGTCATAGAGTAACCAAGAAAAACTATAGGTGAGGCTCTAGGTAAGAATTTTTCACCTCTTTTTACATCAGTTACATATCTTAGACAACCAAAAATTCTCATGTGGTCTAAGAAAGGAGGATGACCAAACAGTAGTTCAAAACAGCACTTGTGTTGTTAGTTTGTTGATAATGTAGGCTGCAGTTGATACACATTCCCCCAAGAATCTTAGTGGAACACCTGCTTGAAATCTTAGTGCCCTAGCTGTATTGAGTATGTATCTGTGCCTTCTTTCAGCTATTCCATTTTGCTGTGGAGTAGAGATATAAGAACTCTGATGAACAATACCCAAAGATTGCAGTAATTCTGTCATTTGTGAGTTAAAAAATGCACACCCATTATATGTTCTTAGGAATTTTACAATACAAGAATGAACATTCTTAACCATAATGAAGAACTGTCTAATGATAACAATTACTTCAACTTTAGAGGGCAACAAGAAAACCCATGTAAACCTGGAATGATCATCCAATAGTGTAAGAAAATACTTCTTCCTATCATGAGTAGGTACCTTATAGGGCTCCCAACATCAACATGAAGTAAGTGAAAGCATGCATTAGCCACAGAATTACTAAGAGAAAATGGAAGCCTTGTTTTCTTAGCAATAGGACAAACAATACATTACTTAGTCTCACTATTATATTTTAAATGTTGAAAATATTTTAACTTTCTCAGAACATCAATTGGCACATGGCCTAACCTCCTATGCCACAAATATATACTTAAACTATCATCCTTTATTGTATTTAAAAAAGATCTTTCAGAGTCTGACTTGTTATTTTCTCCTCCATTTGCTTGGTCTTTGTTATCTGATATGTAGATGTAAAGGCCTTCATCCTCCTTACCAATCCCCCTCACTCTCCTATTGAAAAGATCCTGGAAAAGGCAGACGTCGGGATAGAACAAAGCCAAACATCTAAGTTCCTTTGTTAATTTTGAAACAGATAGGAGATTATATTTGAAGTCTGGTATATGTAACACATTTGTAATTTTCTGTCATTGTAGCACACTTGTAGACCTTGTATGCTTTACACTTGCTATCTTTCATGTGAGTAGATGAACTTTTCCAATACTAAATTCATCAACATTTCTAGATTCTTCTAAGAATTTGAGACTTTTTACCATGTGATTGGAAGCAACTGTATCAACTATCTACCTAATCTCAGCTTTAGTAACTACATGAGGTGAAGTCATACCTGCTGACATGGCATTACTTGGTTGATCATCTTGACTTTAGAATGTGATGCTAGACTTGCCCAAAAGATGCAGGATCTTATTATACTGATCAAATGTAAACTGAGGCACTCCTGCAATCACTCCTTGACTACCTTG